TTATTCTCTGCGTGTGTGCGGTTATGCAGATCTCTCTCCCTGGGGGCCGGAGTGCGTGTGTTGTGTTATTGGGTGTGTGGCTGTAGGTGAAGGGAGGGGCAGAAGCACATGGTATGGGAGGGGTGCAGGAGCCAGTGTGTTTGCCTGTTGAGCTCCCTGCGAGGAGGAGGCCGCATGCCAGGGACCCCACCGGCAGGGTGGAGAAATTCCAGCAAAACAAGAAGAAATTAACCCCCTCCATGCAGTTTTAATGTGGAGAGCTCAGCGGGGGGAGCAGCAGGCTGTTAATCGCTCGTCTCCGCGGCGGACACTTCCATGGGCCCTGGCTGTTTTATTTTCAATTCTTCAGAGTGGGGGTGGGGAGAAAGACGCCAGGTTTGGGGTTTCCAGGGAGTTTTAGTGAATTTCACACTGGGGCCTGATTGAGCGACCCAGGGGCTGACCCCTCTGAGCCAGGACAGCAGCGGGGCTGAACTTTCCACAGGCCTTTCCCTGCACCCCAGCCTGCCCTGACGTGGGAGAAGGAGAGCTCTGGGGGACACCGCAGATCTGCCACTGCTTGGCTGTGTGTCCTTGAGCAGGTCACTGCACCTGCTCTGTGCCTCAGTTTCCCCCAGTTGTAAAACAAGGCACACTTGTGAGGCTAAATGCCTGGATGTTAAGCAAGGGCCTGGGCTTTCCAGGGTGGCAGGACCCACCCAAGCCTGGCTCCGCGGCCGACCTCCTGCGCAGCATTCGAACGGGCAACCGAGAGGGAGCCCGTGGGGGGAGCGGAGGAATCGAGGCAGAGACGGATTCAGAGAAAGGGACCTAAATCCACCCCATAAAGCCCTGGCCGTGCCCGGCGGAGGCTGCTCCCTGTTTACGGCTCTGCCATAAGCTGCCTGCTGGCAGTTTGATCCCTTTCTGCGGGATGACAGGCAGCTGCCGAGCAGAGCTTTATCCCCTGCTGTGGCAGCTTGATCCGCAGAAAGGCCTCGGCCCATTGTCAGAGATTTTCTAGCCGGGACTCAGGGGACGCCCGGACAGCTGAAGCAAGGAGGCTGGGGGTGGGGGCAGGCGTGGGGTGACTCGCAGGCCCTAGTGGGGGCCTGGGGCCCGCTGCGCAGAGAGGAGCAGGCCGCAGGGGCCAGGGCCTGCAGTGCAGTGAGCTAGAGGACCGACCCCCTGCTTTGCACAGGGCAGGTGCTCAGGTGCCAGCAGGATGCCAAGCGTCCCCTGCTGCCCCCGGCGGAAGGGAAACCTCTGACCGAGCAAAGGAGCTGATTCCCCGGACGGCGGGCCGGTAGCTACAGTGGTTTAAAGCAGGGTCACCCCTGCCTGCCCACAGCCACTCGTTCGACAGCACCCCAAACCCAACCAGGTTAACGGGACGGGGGCTGGGCCGCACCCAGGCCAGTTCCCTTTGCCACTGGGATGCTTGGCACCAGAGCGATCCACACCCAGTCTGCACCATCCCCCAGCAGCCTCCCTCCGGCTTCTCGCCCATCCACACCGTCAGTTTCGCTCTCTGTATCCAGTCATGGCTGCAGCAGGCGGGATGCGTTTGAGCGTCACGTGCACCCCAGGGAAAGGTGACAACAAGGAGAACAAACAAGCTACAACCCCCCGCCCCTCGGGTCAGATCCTGCAAACACCTGAGCACCAAGCCAGTGGGAGTTAGGTGCCTAAATCCCTTGGAAGATCAGAGCCAAGGAGGCGTGGGAGCATCTGCAAAACTCTGGCATGTGCCCTTCCCCCCTCCCTACCCTGGTTAGGTTTTGTTTTACATTTCACAGGCTGTATTCGGATTGTGTGCAATCTATTACTGGGAGTGATTAATAATGAAAATATGACGATGATCAAATACAATTATCAACAGACCATAATTATATTTCCTATTAATATCCTAATGGGAAAAAGTGACCACTGACCCCAGCAAATTCTTTGAAAAAAACCTTCCTCGTCGTCTCGGCTGGACTCGAGATTTGCCTCCCGGCCGTTCTCGGGCTCTGCGGCGTGGTTGTCGCCGGCTCGGTCCCTGGACATTAGCAAGGCCGGGTGGACGAGGTCACATCTTTACTGGTTTTGGCGAGAGCGGCTGAGCAGCGCTTGCTCCCGCCCGGCCAGACGCCCACAGATCCATTTCTTAAATGAGCTTTTTAAAATTCATTAAAAAGGAAAGGAGTACTTGTGGCACCTTAGAGACTAACCAATTTATTTGAGCATGAGCTTTCGTGAGCCACAGCTCACTTCATCAGATGTGTACCGTGGAAACTGCAGCAGACTTTATATACACACAGAGAATATATTGGTTAACCAAATAAATTGGTTAGTCTCTAAGGTGCCACAAGTACTCCTTTTCTTTTTGCGAATACAGACTAACACGGCTGTTCCTCTGAAACCTGTCTTAAAATTCATTGTAACTCACGCAAATCCTTGAACCACCCTCCCCCCCCCCAAGCACCCGGGCTGCGGTTGGGGGCCGCCGCTCTGCCGCATGCTCCATACATAACAAAGAGAGCAAAGCCCGACGCATCCTTAAGCAGGGCGCTGAGACCAGCCCCGCCCTAGAAACCCACCTTCCTCGGAAAGGCCAGGCTCCTGCAACCATTTCGGCCGGTAAATCTGTGTCAGTCGGGGCTGCACAAGCTTAAAGCGGAGCAGGATCGGGCCCCATGGCATTAATAATGGGCACATCAGCCGTATCGATTATTTCCACGGGCTCCGGCTGAGCTCACAACCCCTCATACCAGGGGCTGCACGGAGTCGGTGAGAGACAGGCCCTGCCCGCAGAGCTCCCCAAGCAAACAGAGGCAGGGCTGCAATCTGTCCCCTTTGGGTAAATGGGGCCGGAGAAATTCAAGGGACATGCCCAGATCTCCTGGGTCCCAGCCCAGCGCCTGTCATGGGCCTGCCCCGTCTTCCAGCATAGCCCTGCTCGGCTACTGCTGCAAAGCACCAGGAGAGTGTGGCATTAGGGTTATCAGGACTTAACCCTCTGATCAAAACCAGGTAGGGTCCAAGTCCTGCCGTGCATGAGCCGTCCTAGGATCCACACACATTGCCGTGCAGAGATGCCCTCTGATCGCTAACACCCCGTGCATCATTAGCACCGACTCCGGCCCGTTCGGCACGCCGAACTAAGCTCCATTCGTAATGATCGTTCTGACGGCTGGATTCGGGAACAAGCGAGGCTGAAGAACTGGCCCATGGGGAGGTGAAGGGAGCGCTGATGTTCCTGGGACTGGAGGGCGGGTTCCTGAAAGCCCCAGCTCCTGGAGTCAGGAGATCATGTGAGATCTGGGCTTATGTGACAAGGTGGGGGTGGGGGGGTGTCCTGAGTCTATCCCCATGCTGGTGAGGCTGCCTTTCTCTTGCTGCTAATTCTACTGTATGCTGACAAATACCTTGTATTAGCAACAACCTCTGTCACCATCACTGACTGTGTGAGTGTCTGAATGTATGACACAATTAATGATCATCTAGATTCATAAGGCAGTGGTTATATTAATTATATTTAACACACTATGCAATTAGTTCATAATTAATAATCAACAATAATATAGTGAGTCTATGATACTTATATGGAGCATTACATAATATAGTAATTATATTAATTATAGTTACATGGCGTCTCATACAATAATACGATCCTGCATAAATATAATTACTATCCGCTATTAATTAAGAATTGATCTCTCAATTCATGATATAGTTGTATGAATTCTGTGTGTAGATTACATAGAGATGAATTAGTAATCGTAACCCTATACTGACGGTCGATCATCAGGATCTCAAACGAATGGGGGGACTGGCCCCACACCCCAGATTCTGGGATGGTTTTAGTCTATTGAGCTTTGCCGACCCGCCCAGTCAGGGCGATGAGTCCGGCCCGTGCTGCAGGAGCTCCCAGCTTCTCCCCAGACCCCCAGTGATTCAATTCAGCCCCCCCACGGCCCCACAACTGCCCCTCCCACAGCCCAGCAATTACTTATGCCCCCACATCAATTCTGCCCCCTCCCAACCTCACCTCTGCTCCTGCAGCTGCTAGGGTCTTTACCCCCCTCTCCCAGGCCTGGGGGGGGGGGCAGGGATTCCCCCCCCCCTTACAGGGAGGAAAGGGATGGGGGGGCAGACTGGCCCATTGTTCACAGGAGGGGGGGGAAGCACAGCCACTCTGATCGGCTGGGCTCTTTCAGCTCCCTCCCCACAACCCAAAAGCCCCTCTTGGCTCCTGCGCGGGGAGGGGGAGAGCGCTGCCAGCCTCCAGCAGCCATCCCGATTGTGGGGATGGCAGAGTGGGGATGGTTCGCCCCAGCTGCAGCTGGCCCGGCACTGGGGAACTCCAGCCGCCTTGGGAACCTCCGCAGCGGGGAAGGCAGCCAGTCAGGTGGGGGGTCCCGCCCCCCCACAGCGGAGGTTCCCAAGGCGGCTGGAGTTCCCCAGTGCCGGGGCAGCTGCAGCTGGGGCGAACGCAGACGAGGAAACGGCTGCCCTGGTGCTGGGGGAGGGGATTAACCCCCAGACCCAGTGCCCCAGCTGGGGGCGATTCACCCCCCAGCCCGGGACGGGAAGGTTTGAACTCAGGGTGGTCCCCGCGTTAGTTCAGCCCCGGCTCTTGGCCCCTGGCCGGTGCTAGGCCGGGGTCGGACGAGAGGACCCCAGGGGTCCCCCTCCCCTTCCAGGCGCCGTCCCTGGGGCAGAGAGACGCCGAGGCCAGGCCCATGGCCCTCAGGCCCCTGGGTTCACCGGGGCCAAGAGGCCAGTGGAGTGGATGGGTCCCTGCCATGGGGCCGAACCACGCCCCGGGCGCGTCTGTGGCCAGCGCTGCCCCCCCGCATCAGTGGGGGGGGGGGGTACCTCGATGCCGTGGGGGAGGGGTGGATCACAAGGGGCCTCCCATGCGTCAGCGGGTGCAGGATCGGGGCCCATGATCATGGGGAGCTGTGCTCTGGGCAGCGGGGCAGGGGCTCAGCAGCGGCCACCCCCGTCTAACGCGCCCCCCCATCTCCCCCCAGGTGCGGGCCAGCGCCATCGCCCAGGACGCGGACCAGAACTATGACTATGCCAGCAACAGCGTCATCCTGCACCTGGACGTGGGCGACGAGGTTTTCGTCAAGCTGGACGGGGGGAAGGTGCATGGGGGGAACACCAACAAATACAGCACCTTCTCCGGCTTCATCATCTACCCGGACTGAGCCCCCCGGACTGAGCCCGTCGGCCCCCCCAGCGTGGCCCCGGGGCCCCCTGGACTGAGCCCGTCGGCCCCCGCAGCGTGGCCCCGGGGCCCCCCCGGACTGAGCCCATCGGCCCCCCCAGCGTGGCCCCGGGGCCCCCCCGGACTGAGCCCGTCGGCCCCCCCAGCGTGGCCCCGGGGCCCCCCGGACTGAGCCCGTCGGCCCCCCCAGCGTGGCCCCGGGGCTCTGCTCAGGGAAATGAACTGGGACAGACCCCCGGGGGGGCTGTGGGTGGCTGGGTCTAGGGGTGCAGGGGGAACTAGGGGCTCAGGGCATCTGCTCTGGCACCCCCAGACGTTACCAGCCCCTGAAGACATGGGGGGGTGGCTGCGGAGCGGGGGGAGAAAACAGGCTGTGGTGGGGACCCAAACCCACCATCAGCTGGGGGGAGGTGCTGATGATCTCCTTGCTGGGTGGGGCCCAAGGGGGGGGACGCTGGGAAGGGAGGGGTCGGGCACGGATGTGGCGTTGGGGTGGGGGCTGCAGTTCTGAAGGGGCTGGTCTTTCCCACCCCAGGGGCCCTGCCCCTCCTGCCTGTCCCCCTGGGGAGAGGGGATGGCACTGGCAGGCTGGGCAGAAAATTCACCCCCCAGCCCCACCCCCGAGCCTCTCAATCTCCAATGACTTGACCCTCATCCAGAACTGGGTGGATGTCAGGAGGGGGACCTGGGGAAACAGCCCCCAGATTCCTAACAGGTCTCACCTCCTCCTCTGCTCAGATCCTACCCCCTGCCCCCGCCCCCGCCAGACACCCCCAGGGGCAGGAGAGAAGCCTGCCTTCTCCCTAGCATTGGGGTACGAATTGAGCATCCCAGCTCCCCCCACAGCTCACTACCCTTGTACAGAGGCCCCCCAGACCCCGAAGTGGGGAGAACCCCTCCTACCCCTCGTCTCTTCTCCCCAGATTATACTCTGTCACCATTTGCAGCCCCACAAGTCTCTTGCATGAAGGGTTGTGGGGCAGCCCTAGATATTACGATATATAGACTTCAGGGGGTTGCCCACTGGGTATTGCCCAAGGGATGGTCTCGTGTCCTATCAACTGGCTGACATGCGCCTGTCTGTACATAATCTCTCCACTGCCCCCTGCTGGAGGCCATTGGAGCTGCTCGAGCGTGTGTCATAGACCCTGTATGGCTAAGGGCCGATGGAGAGTCCCCCTCCCAGCCAGCCTTTGGGAGCGGGAGGATCCGAGTCTCTCTGGAGTAATAGAGAGATGGGCCTGGCTGGGCCAGGGGTCTCCCCCATCACAGCTGCCTACTGCAGTGGGGGGCTTCCCTCTGCCCCCATGGCTAGCCGGGGGTGTCACAGAGTCCCTGGGCGATGCTCTGGACCTGCTCCCTATGAAGCCAGGCAGGACTCTGGGGAGTCTCCTCTCGGGGAGCAGCCTGTCTGCAGGACACACAGCTCACCCGGCTTCCCCCTTCCTAGGTCTGACCTCGGAGCATTCAGCCTCCTCTGCCCCTCTGTGCGCTTCCCACAGCGAGTCCGCCCAGGCGGGGTCCTGGGGCAGCCAGAGGGTCCTGCCCCCCCAACTCCGCAGTCAGACGGGACTCTCAGTCAGCCAGTAAAACAGAAGGTTTATTAGATGACAAGAACATGGTCTAACACAGAGCTTGTAGGTGCAGAGAACAGGACCCCTCAGCCGGGTCCATTTTGGGGGGCAGTGAGCCAGACAACCACGTCTGCCCTTCACTCCATGTCCCAGCCAGCCCCAAACTGAAACTCTCTCCAGCCCCCTGCCCCCGCTTTGTCCCTGTCCCGGGCCAGGAGGTCACCGGATTCCTTTGTTCTCCAACCCTTTAGCTCTCACCTTGCAGGGGGAAGGACCCAGGCCATCAGTGGCCAGGAAACAGGGTGTTGGCCATTCTCTGTGTCCTGACCCCTGCACACACCTGCCCTCTAGGGCTCTGCAACGATCATACACCCTTATCGCACCACTTAGATACTTAAGAACTGCCTAAGGGAAACTGAGGCACCCCCACACCATTCAGAGGAAACATTAAGAACAGTCCTGCTTTGTCACAGGGGGTGGGGGCTGTATTGTGTGGATGGGGAGGGGAGCCTGTGCCACAAGGGCAATGCCCAGACTCCGCCCTAGCATCTTCCTAGCGAGCAAAGAAACAAGATGGTTGGGTCAGAGCCGGGCCGCGGCCAAGCCCCTGCGACACCCCCCCACTGCCTTTCCCCTCCCCCATACACACAACACCCCTCGCCCCCCCACAGCCATTCCCCTCCTCCATACCCACAGCCCCCCACTGCAGTTCCCTCCCCCATACACACAACACCCCCACAGCCGTTCCCCCATCACACACACAGCATCACTGCAAAACCCCACTGCACCCCACAACTGTTCCAGCGTACACCCCACATCCCCCGTCAGATCCTCCCAGACCCGCACATACCCGCAGAAACACCCCTGATCACTGCCCCACTCTCGCCCGCCCACCAGTGAACCGCCAGGCCCAGCCACCCCCATGGCTCTTCCCCGCCAGAGACCTGGGCTGGCTCTTTCTGCCCCGTGAGTGTGGCAGGGCGTGTGCGTATCACGTGGGTGCTTTGCAGGCACGTGTCTGAGTGAGCACACATGGATGCGCAGCAGGGGGATGTGCAGGTGTTTGCACGCACGTGTGCAAGTATGTTTGCACATGCACGGGGTGTTCTCCAATTCCCCCTCCTCGATCCATCTTTCCCCTTCACCCCCCATCACCCCAGCCACCCCTCATTTCAGTCTCACCCAGCCTTCGGCTCTCCTCCCCCTGCTCCCCTCCCCCCATTCCCCACCCTGCCCCGCCTCCTTTGCACACTCAGAAAGGTCACCCCCTGGTGGAAGCTATTCCTCACTGGGGCAGCATTGCTCTTCTGCGCACACGCACGCTGCCCCCTGCATGAAGCCCCATGTGCTGGCCACTCACCGACCACGGGTCGCAGGAGGGAGCTGTACAGTGACCTGTTCGAACTGTCCAGGGGCCGGGGCACTTCGCTGCGATTAACCCGCCCGGGGCCGCTGACACCAGGGGCCCCGTGAACCCATGTCTCCGATCGCCAGGCTCTGTGTTTGATCCGCCATTAAAACACTCTGGTTTTGGACTCGCACTTTGGAGGGGTTTTCTCTGTTGCCACAATGCAGTCATGCATGGGGCTCACTCACCCACCACTGATCTGCAGCCACCTCTGGGGTGAGGCACAGCGGCAGGTTAACAGCCACACTGCAATGCTGCTGGGAAGCGAAGGAGGATCCCGCCTCCAGCTGGAGCCCCGAAGGGAGGGACGATCACCTGAGCTGCAATGCTGGGTCCCAGCCCCGCCCGTGGGCACCAGCTCCCTTGCCGCGCATGGGGCCAGCCGGGATCTTTGGGCTGTAACAGAAGCCAGCACCCAGGATGTGGCGGGTTGGAGGGTGCCAGAGGCTGAGGCCAAGGGGGTTCTGGGCCTGGGCGTGACCCCTCTCGTTAACCCCTTCCTTGCTACAGGCCTGCCCTCCCCTTCCCCCGTGGATGCATTTAACATGTGTCACCAAGTCCCTGCTCCAGGATCCTGGCTCCTTCCCTGGCCCGCGAATGCTCATGGCCTCTCCACCCCCACAGAGGTGGCTGCCAGCACTTTAACGCCTTCTTGGCCAGCCCCAGCCAGGGGCCTCTCCTGGCTTCTCTGTTTCCCCAGGGTCTGGGGCGCCTCACCTCCCCTTCTCTGACCACTAGGAGTCCTCGCCAAGGAGCGACACATCTGCAGGGAAGGGCACACACAGGGCACTGCTGTTGGGAAGTTTACCGCACTGAGGTCCTGGGCACTGCTGTCAGGAAGCTTGCAACACCGGAGTCCTGAGTCCAGGACACTGCTGTGGGGAAGTTCACAGTGCTGGGCTCCCACCAGGGCACTGCTGTCAGGGTGATCACAGCTATAGGAAATCTTTTCCCAGCCTCATCTCCAATTCCAGCCCCTTTGCTTGGCCAATTAGTGTTAATTAACCACATTGGCCAGTGCACGTGTCTGTGGGTGTGTGTGTGACCCTGCATGTGGGGTAGGGGTGCCATACAGCTATGGTGCATCACCTCACAGGGCTCACCCACCCAGGGCGGAAATGCAGCCACTGCTGGGGTGGGGCAAGGCAGCTGAGCACCAGCTACATTGCACAGGGATGGGCGTGCATCTCACTGGGGTGTTTTTCACAAGATCCCCCCTCGATCCCACCCTGGCCAGATGAGGGGGCACCCATGGGGAAGGAACCGGGGGTTTTGATGGTGGTGAAAGAGGAGAGGCATAGATGGGGCACTCAGGCACGGCTCTCCCCAGACTCCCCCCCAATACTGTCTGACGCACCCCGCATCCTGCACTGAGCACCCCTGGGCTTTGGCAGCTCTGAGCCCTGCTGTTTCTCCTGCTCACCCTGCAAACTGCCCCAAGACAGACAAAGTAACCCCCACTGCCACCCAGCCTGGGGGGTGCAGTGCCCCCCCTGTGCCGGTTATGGGGAAGCAGTGTCCTGCTAGGAGAGTTCGGGTCACACACCAGCAGCTGGGCCCCTTGTGCGCCCCCCATGCGCTGTATGCAACCCTGCGTCTGGGTGTGGGGTGGGGGGGGAGTAGTGTGGCCACCCCCAGCCTGCGCTGAACGGGGAGCATGCCTGCCCGCACACGTTTGTCTGCATGCACATAGCATGACCTGGCCATCCGTGCTCCAGTCACGTTACACACATGTCGTGTCTGTATCCCAGCCCCGCCTGTGCATCCCCCTGCCAGCGGGTCCTGCCTAGTGGCCATGACAGCGCCATGCACACGTGGTGCCCCAGCGGGACATGCCTGCCCCCCACCGTGTCTGCAGCACGTCAGCAAAGATACCGCTGGCTGCGTGCTACCTTCAGCCCGTCGGGCCCCCCCGGGCGGTGACGCTCTCGGTGCACACGCGTGTGCAGGCAGACAGGCCGCGTGCACACACGGGCCCAGTACCACCCCCCCCACACACACACACACACCCGTCTGTGCCGGCTGGCCCTGTCACCGCGCTGATGGCTGCCCAGCGGCGCCCGCCTGTAATGAGCTCCCCGCCCGCCCCCCGGGACGCTGGTAATCGGCAAATCAGGCTGGGAAGGCAACGCTGAGACAGGCCTGGGCCCCGCCATTCAACAGGAGTTCACTTTTTGGGTGTCCGTTTCCTCCCCCCAAACCAGCTCCCACCCCCCATCAACCACCCACTCCTGGGCGAGGGGAGGCAGAATGGATAAATGGGGGGGCATGTGCCCACCAGCCCATGTTACAGGGCTGGGACTGGAGGCGGTTTGGGCCAGGGCCGCGCTCTGCTCTGCGTTCGGGTCTGGTCCTGATCTGGGGTCCCTGGGTGCTGCCCCAGGAGCTCCCTGCAGTCCCCCAACCTCTCCCACCATGCGGCCCAGGTGTGACCATGTGACGCAGCAGGGAGGGGGGAGTGTTGACCTGGGAATGTGCCCTGGGGAGGGGAGACCTGAGAGCCTGTCACCTGAGCCAGGGGGGGGGGGGAGGTGACACCTCTGCCCGGGAATGTGGACAGAGGCTGCAGGAGGGAACCTGCTGGGGGGGGTTAGTTTCAGTTTGGGGCTGGGGAGAGGAACACAGGGAACCCCAGGGCTGGGGTCTAAGCTCCCTGCTCCCCCAGAAGGACTTGACTGAGGGGTCCTGGGTGTACCCACAAGCTCTGTTGTGGACTGTGTTCCTGTTGTCCAATAAACCTTCTGTTTTACTGGCTGGCTGAGAGTCTCAGTGAATCCCAGGAAGAGGGGTGCAGGGCCTGGACTCCCCCACACTCCGTGACACCAGGGTCACCACCCTCCCAGCCCGCTCCCTTTCAGGGACATCTCCCCCCTGCCAGAGGCTGTGTGTCCCCCCTTCTCCTTTCTCTCACCCAGCCCAGGGTCTCCCTTTCTCCTCCCCTGCCGGGGTGCTGGGTCTGGCCCCCCCTTTCTCCTTCCCTGCGCTGGCAGGGTGGCCCCTGGGTGAACCTGGGTTGGGGCAGTGGGACCCCCCTCCGTGGGTTGTGGAGGAGCTGGGGGTTGCACAGGAAAGTTTCTGAAAGCTCTCGGCCCTGCCTGCTTGGGCAGTCCCGGGGTTGTGGAGGTGAGGGAGCCCAGCAGGGACCAGTGCGGGGGCAGGAGGATGCATGGGGGTGTTCAGGGCAGCCCCTAGGGACACACTGATTCCTGGTGAACAATGCTCTCAGAGCCCAGCCCCCTCCCTTCCCAGGCAGGCGCGGGGTGGAGGAGGGGACACCATGCCACACAAACTGAGACGGACTGCGGCTCTCCTGTGGACTCAGACAACTCACTGTGCGTCTCTGCCTCAGTTTCCCCTTTGGACACAGGGAGGGTATTCCCCCACCTCCTGTGGCTGCTCTGATGAGCCTGGGTTCATTATTCCCCCAGGATGGGGTTGGGATCCTCCCGGTTTTACAGGTGGGGAAAGTGAGGGGGGGGGGGGGGGCAGGGAGGGGAAGAGATGAGAATGGAACCCAGGAGTCCTAGGCCCAGCTCTCCCAGTGCCATGCTCACACTCTCTGCCCTCGCCCAGCCCAGACAGCTGGCTGCCAGGCCCACCCTTCGCCTGAGACACCCCCAGGGAGCTCTGCCAGCACAGACCCCCCAGGTTGCTGCCCCTCATCCCTGGCAGTAACTTACCCCGCTAAACGCCCAGCCAGGGGCTGCTACAGCACCTTCCCCTCAACAGGCGAGATCTGCCAAAACCCAGGCCCTGCTAAGTGCAGCCAGCTCTGGGCAGAGGCAGGAGCCTGCCCTTACCAGGCATTTTCCCCGGACCCAGCAGGGGGATCAGATGCCCTCCCACTCCCCTCACCCCTGCTCTTAGCTCTGGGAGGCTGCTGAACAGCAGCTGTGCTCCACCCTAGAAGCAGCTCCTGCAGCCCCGTTGCTCCAGGGGCTGGGCTGTTATGGAAGGGGCGCGGCTGTTATGGAAGGGGCGCAGCTGTGAAAGCCACTGGAAGTGTAACCACCTGTGACGAAGCGGGACTGTTCTTAATGTTTCCTCTGAATAGTGTGAGGGCGCCTCAGTTTCCCCTATGCAGTTCTTAAGTCTCTAGGGGGTGGGGTAAGGGTGTATGATCATTTCAGAGCCCTAGAGGGCAGGTGTGTACAGGGGTCTGGACACAGAGAATGGTCGACACCCTGTTTCCTGGCAACTGATGGCCTGGGCCCTTCCCCCCTGCAAGGTGAGAGCTAAAGGGTTGGAGAACAAAGGAATCTGGTGACCTCCTGTCCCGGGACAGGGACAAAGCCCAGAGGAGGGGCTGGAGGGGGAGGCAGGTTGGGTCTGGCTGGGACATAGAGTGAAGTGTAGACGGGGTTGTCTGGCTTACTGCCCCCTAAAATGGACCCAGCTGAAGGGTCCTATTCTCTGCACCTACAAGCTCTGTGTTAGACCATGTTCCTGTCATCTAATAAACCTTCTGTGTTACTGGCTGGCTGAGAGTCCCGTCTGACTGCGGAGTTGGGGGGCAGGACCCTCTGGCTTCCCCAGGACCCTGCCTGGGTGGACTTGCAGTGGGAAGCGCACGGAGGGGCAGAGGCTGAATGCTCCGAGGTCAGACCCAGGAAGGTGGAAGCTGTGTGTCCTGAAGACAGGCTGCTCCCAGAAAGGAGACTCCCCCAGAGTCCTGCCTGGGTTTGTAGGGAAGCAGGGCCAGAGCCTCGCCTGGGGACTCCGTGACAGCTGGTGGCAGCGGTGGGATGTACTGTAGCGCTTCCTGCAGTAAGCGACGGGGGAGCAGTAAAACGAAGGGGGATTGCCGAGGACCAGGCCTGCTGAAGGCTCGGAGAGGAGCGGTTTCGGGGGGTGGTTAACCCCTGGGAGTGTGTGACCAGCGAGAAGGATGGTGCAGTAATGGGGGCCCCCTGGGGACTGCAGCGAGCAGTCTCGGGGGAGAGGAGCCTGCGGCTTGGCCCTGGGAGAGAGAAGGGTGCCTCAGTTTCCCCTAGGCAGATCTAGGTGGTGGGATAAGGGTGCATGATTGTTGCAGAGCTTGTAGGGCCTGTAGCAAAACAGGAGACCTACAGCAGCAGCCAAGTGTAAACAATACTTTATTAGGGTGCCATAGTAACAGACAGCTCGTCATTCAAAACGAGTTTGCTGCTTCCCAGCCCCCCGGGCTTTGGGCTCGTAATAAATAGAGGGGCCGAGGCAGGGCTAGGCCCAGGGAGGTCCTAGAGACTGTGCAGGGGTCACTGACGTGCCTGCAGATCACACAGGAAGGCGCAGAGGCTGCGATCCAGGCTAGCGGCAGCTGGCGGGTCTGGGAGCTCCGGCGTGCAGGTGATGTGACAGGCCTGAGCAGCAGCTGGGCAGACGCCAGTAGGGGGCGCCAGAGGCTGCCTTGCTCGCCCCCCAGCGCTCAAGGTGGCATCTCCAGCAAGGGGTTCGGGGGGGGGGGGGTCTGGCTAGAGAAGCCACCCTCAGGTCAGGAGTCCTGGACTGGCCAGGGTGACGTGGGGCCCGCCCGGTGCCACCGATGTGCCCCTGGAACGAAGAACAGGAGGTGCCCGCCCGGCCCATCCATTGGCATGGGACACAGGTGGGGGGCATGCCAGACCCCACCTGTGCTGGGGGGGGGGAGCCCCTGCCATGACTGCCAGTGGGGAGCAGATCTGTGGCAGGACCTGGGCGGGCACCAGCTCAAGCGGGTCTGGTTCCCCTCCGTCATCTCAAGGGCTGGAGCGGCAGGGCTTCCTGTAGGGAACTCCTGGCTTCCCCTGGGGGGCCACCAGGTGCCGGCTGCACGATGGGGATAAAGTGCTGGAGGGGAGAGACTGAGGCTGGGATCTCATCTCATGACATACGCTGCCCCCCCCACCCCTCCCAGTGCCCACAGCTGGGACCCAGGAGTTCTGGGCTCTATGCCAAGCGTGGGGAGGAGAGGGCACTGGAAAGCAGGAGTCCTGGCTCCAGCATCCACCTCACTAAACCACTAGCTCCTTCTTCCAGGGCCAGGCAGAGAACCCAGGAGTCCTGGTCCGTCCCCCCCCCCCCCCCCCAAACCCACTAGAGTCTGGGAGAGAACCCAGGAGTCCTGATTCAGTTCTTCTTTCCCCAGGGACCAGTTGGTTTGGCACCAGGGCTCAGCCCCCACCCCCCAAATGCCGGAGACCCCAGGGAACAGACACTGAGGGGGAAGAGCCAGCGACTCACTGTGGTTTCCCGGGCCTCCAGCAGCGTGGCCACAGGGTCCGTGCAGCAGCGGGGGGCCGGGGCCTGGCTGCCAGGGGGCCGGCCCATGTAGAAGGCACACTCGTCGTCCAGGCAGGCCTCTTGGAAGCGCTGGGGGGCGCTGAGCAGGTCTCTGAACCGCTGCTTCACCAGGGCCACGCGGGAGGGGGATGTTGCAGGGGCAGCCCTGGCCCCTGCAGGTGAGAGGGAACGTGAGCCACCCGGGGGCCTGGAGCCCGCAGTCCGTCCGTCCGTCCTGTTCCCCCCGGGTCCGGCCAGCCACAGGGGCTGCAGAAATGGAGACGAACACCCCGGGGCTGGATTGGAGGCAGCGCCCCCTATTGGCCATTTCCCATCAGCTCAGTAGCGGGACAGGGGGGTCCAAAGAAGCCCCGTAGCCCCCGGGGGCACTCAGCGACGGAGCCATGTCCTACCTGCAGCACCCCCGCTGGCGGTGGGGGACCTCAGGGAGTGGATGAGAGGGTGGGAGCAGACGGGCCGCTGGGAGGAGAAGGTGAGCGTGGTGCCCGCCGCAGGGAAGGCCGCAGAGCTGGCCGGGGGCATTGTCCTGCTGGCGGGGCCCTGCCCAGGGTCCTGGCACGAAGAGGTGGAGGGGAGTTGCTTCAGCCTGCTGCCGGCTGCTGGCAGGGGAGGGGGCGTGCGGGGGGGCCTGGGCGACGGGGCGCAGGCAGCCGGCAGGCTCTGGAGCTCATCCAGGCTGCAGGAGCCCCCCGCCCCCTCCACCTCCTTCCGCAGGAGCCGGGCCAGGAACTCGATGCACTGCCGGGAGGAGAGAGAGTCAGAACAGCACCCCCCAGCCCAGCCCCCCCAGTATCCGAGGGAGCCCACCCTATCCTCACCACCACGCTGGCCTCTCAGGCCATGCTGCCCCCGGGATACTGGGGGCTCCCCCCCGTGCCTGCAGGACCGAGCCAGGCCCCCCCTCCTACCTGCGTCTTGCTGCCCCCCCTCGCCAGGCCAGGCGAGCGCTTTCCTCACTGATGCTTCTGTGGCCACCTGGCTCTCCCCGTCCCCGAAGAGCCGCACCACGATCTTCTCCTGGGGGGAGGCACCATCAGGGGCGTGGGACCAGACCCAGCACGGAACCCCCTCCCCGCTTGCAGGGCCCCCGCCTGAGCTCAGCCCAGGCCCTTCCCGGGGGGTGGGGGCACGGAATGATCTTCCCCACAGAAGCTGCAGGACAGTCCAATTCCAACCCCCACTCAGCACCCCCCCCCATGCTCTTTGCCATGGGGGGGCCCAAATTCAGCTAGGATAGAGGATCCTGGAGGGGGGGAAGTCACACAGCCCCCAAGACATCGGTCAGACCCCACTGCAGCCCCCTCCCCTCCCAGGGCTGCTGTCCCAGAATGGGATGGGCTCAGCTGGCATTTGGCCAAAGGAAGGAATCCCCCGGCTGGGTCTCCTCATGCCCCTGCAGCCCCAGGGCACTCACCAAGGGCAGGACTGACTCATCGGGGTCAGGGCTTCTGGGCTCCGGGGAGAGGCCGCCGGCCCACCTGGCTGGGGTCTAGAAATGGGAACACGGGGTCAGCGAAGGCCTACAGGCAATGGGATGTGGCCACCGCCACCACCCCTGCAGACAGGAGCCCGGTTTGTTCTGGGGCTCGGACACCCGGGCTTGGCTCAGCTCTGGGGAGGCAAGGGCTGGCAGAGCCCTGAGCCTGCCTGTCAGCAAGGGGGCACCCCACCCCTCAGACCCTGAGCAGGGCCACTGCTCCCCAACAGCCCAGGAGCCAGGCCCCTCCCGCATCCAGGCACAGCACCCTGGAACCAAGTTGATCTGTCCCTGTTCCTGCCCCCCAAAGCCCCATTCCCACCCACCTGCAGCACTCCCTGTGCCGGGCGCTTGTCCAGGGCCCCCTCGGTGCGGGGCGTGCGGGGGAAGACGGCCAGGCGGCGGGTGGAGAAGCAGGTACGGCGCTGCGAGGGGAGAAGGTTTCATGTGGACAGCGCCCAGCGCATGGGGCTGGGTCTCACTGGGGCTGCCCCCGCCCCACACCCCAGGGAACAGACCCTGCACGGACTGGCCAGGCTCTCTTTGGGCTCCCCTGGTTGGAGAGCCAGGCGCTGCAGTGAGTCCATCCTAGGACTCGTAGTGAGTCCACCCTAGGACTCGTGGACACAGACCCCAGGCAGGGCTGAACAGGGCCCAGCCTGGCAGGCCCCTGCCTCACAGACAGGGGAGGGACCAGTGAGTGCAGCACAGCCAAGGAGAGAACCCAGGAGTCCTGGCTCCCAGCCCCACCCAACCCACTAGATTCCCCTCCCCGAGCTGGGGACAGAACCCAGAAGTCCTGGCTCCCAGCCCCCCGGCTCTAACTCCTAGGCAGACCCCAGGGAACGCCTGGGTCCCATCTATGGGTCATGTTTGGTGAGGGTGGGGACCAGCTGAGCAGAGGGCAGGTCCGGGTGACAGGAGCTGCTCAGACCAACCCCTCCCTGAGGAGATTCCCACCCCCTGCCCCGCCCAAGGGTACAAACCAGGGACTGGGGCTGCGTGACGGGCACCCTCCTGGCGGAGCCAAAGGGCGAAGAGCGGCTGATCTCCCGGGTCCTGGGCGTGCCAGCCAGCTGGGCTGCTTGGAGGCCATCCAGGGCCTCAGCACCTGGAGAGAAGGGGAGGCTGAAGGCAGTGAACCCTGGCACCAATTCCCCCCCACCCCCAGGACTTGTGGCTCGTGCATAAAAAGGAACCCCCAGAGCCCAAGCACAAACAGACCCTCCCCCATCTGCTCCCACCCCCCACGCTGGATCCCAGGAGCAGGGGAGGGGTCTGTACCTTTAAGTCCCAGTGTGGAGTAGCAGGAGGCATGGCCGAAGTCGCCCTTTGGGGGGACGCTGATCTGAGGTCTCAGCAGCGAGGTTCTGCTGCCCTGAGGGGGAGAGAAAAGGCCACCTCAGCCCCCTCTGCTCTGCAGATGGCAAGGGCAGGGTGCTGAGCCCCTGTGGGCCAGAGGCCAGGGTCAGGCACACCCCAAACCCCTGTGTTGGGCTGCTGCTACCCTGCCCACCTCTCAGCAGCCGGGGCTGCACCTAACCCCATCACCGCAGGCACTGGCTGGGCCAAGCTACGGCTGGAGGGGCCAGCCCAGCTGCTGGAATCCTGGGACCAGATACCCTCCTCCTGCCCCACTGGTGCCAGCCCCCCGGGTGTGGATCCCACAAAGCGCCGGGCAGAGGCAGTGCCCCCAGCACCAGCTGCCCCAGATAGGAGACATGATCCCAACAAGGACCAAGCCACAAGGCCAGGCTTCAAGACCCCTGAACAGCTCACCGTGGGGCTCCCCTGAGTGGAGGGCGGGACGCCCCGCAGCCCCTTCACTGGCACCCTCCGAGCCAGACTGAGCTTCCCCGTGGGCCCCAGGGCAGCGTGGCTCAGTCCCACGTTGGAGAGGACGCTGGCCAGGGCATCCAGGTCTGGCACGAACTCCTCTGCAGGGACGGGGGAGAGGAGACTGTCAGCAACTGGCTCGGTAGGAGTCCGGTTTGGTTTACATTTCTGATGGCTAATGTCAATGTTTTTAAGCGTTTTTCCCTATTTCCAGTGATTTAAATGGTCTGACCCTGCAGCTCTGAAAATAGCGGAGCGGAGACAGTACACGTTGAGATTCAAAACGGTTATAATGCTTAAAACACAAACTATGGATATCACACGCCCAGCCCTGCCAAGGAAGGGCTGGATGGCGGCTCTGGCTGGCCACACTTCCAATGGGTGGTGTGTTCGTGGATTCCAGTGAAACACACGTCCTGACACTAACTGATATCAATCTAACCCCTCCAAGCCTGGTCATCAGCCATGGGGGGCGGGGACCGGGGAGGCACGACAAGGGCATCACGGTAGCCTGTGGAAGTGCCCGACATTGCATCACTGATAAGACAAGATGGAATTTGGGCTGGGCTGGGCAGGGGAGTCAGGACTCCTAGGTTCTATCCCAGCTCTGGGAGGGGAGTGGGGTCTGGTGGGTTAGAGCAGGAGTCAGGACTCCTGGGATCTATTCCAGGCTTACGGGACATGGGCTCTTACCTGTCTCTGATGCTCCCATGGGATCCGTCCTTGAGGGTGAGCTGCTGCTGAAGCAGAGAAAACAGGGGCTGCTCATTCCCCACCCCTGCCGACTCAGGCAGGTGCAGGGCACTGCTTGCCACCCGAGTCCCAGGCTCCCCTGCCCCTTGGGTCTGAACCCCCCGGCTCAGGATCCCGGCAGGGGGCAGAGGTGTGTGTAGAGAGTTGGCCGGGTGTCAGCACAGGCCCCCCCGTATAATCCATCATAACCTGGCTCCAGACGACGCGACGGGGCCAGTGCTGGCTGCAGATACTCCTTGGGAATGCCAGGTACACGCTGTGCACCTCCAGCCGATCACGGAGCCACGAGAGCTGCGATGGGCGGTTAATGGTATGTTCCTCCCCCATACCCGTTAATGGCACGCTCCCCTGTCACCTGTGGGCTGCACTCTGCCCCCCAGTGCCAGCCTTGCCCCCTTTGCCATCGCTCAAGGACCCCGGCCTGCCATTGCTGGACTGGTCCCTGGTTCCACCGGCTTCCTGGCTCTTGGCTGGTTCACTCTGCATCGCCGTGGCAATGGGATGCGGGCGCCCCCGACACGCCTCCTTCGCCCCTGCGCCCAGTCTCTGCAGAGCGGGGTGCCCCTGGCGCCGAGAGAAACCTGGTTCAAGGTGGGCTGGGCAGGCACGTGGTACCCACAGCACCCTGCCCCCAACTGAAGGAACTGGAGCATCCGAGCCACCCTGGAGACGGGCACCCCATCACCCACGGAACGCATCCAGCCCCATGGTGACCCACCCCGAGGGGCCGCGGGAGCGGCAGGCACCAGTCGCCGGGGGGGGGGGGGGGGGAGCTGGCCCAGGCCAGGTGTGGACTAGGGCGGGTTTGGAGCAGAGGAACCCAGTGCCGTGGGCTGCGCAGGGAACGAGGCTAATACGAGGAGTCCCCTGCACCCTCCCCCACCCCCCCGAGGCCCCTCCCAGCTGCCAGCCCCAGGGTGCCCCCTCAAGCACTGGAGGCAGACAGCCCCCTCCAGCACCGGCCCCTCTGCAGCGGGGCATTGCCAGCTGGAGCTGGGACTTAGTGCAGCCCCTCCAAACCCTGTGGGTGTCCCACTGCCCTCCGATGGCATCTCTAGCCAGGCAGAGAGGAAGGTTGGAGCCAGCCAGCACTCACCGCGGGCTGGGCACGGGACCCCAAGTCCCGCAGTGTCGCTGACAGGGCCTGGATCTGCTGAGATTTAAGGAGCAGGCCACGGTGCTGAGCAGGATCCTGTGTGGCTCGACGAGCTGCATCTGGGGGCCGGAGCAGAGAGGGCAGAAGTCAGGCGGCGAGCCGAGAGCAGGCCCGGGGAGCAATCAACACTATATTAATGATGCCAAAGGGCCCAGGATCAGCAGATGCTGCCAGGCTCCCTTCCCTTCTCCCCCATGCAGGCAGCTTCCTGCAGCAAGAGGTCACCTTCTGGGGAAGCTGCTCCTGCATTGCACCATCCACCCTACCCAGGGCCACCCGGGCCCCAGCTGCAGGAGCCAGGGGCTGTACCTTTAGCTGCCAGCCGGGAGAAGCAGGAGGTGCGGGCTGGATCCGGGCACAAGGCAGGGGTCCCCGAGGCCACGTACAGGGAACCACGCACAGTCTGGGGAAAAGAGAGAAGCAGCCAGGAAGGCCAGTTAGGAAAGTGGGTCCCTGACCCACCCCTTACTAAAGCCCTAGTGTGAGGGGGCTGCGAGCTCGCTGTGTTCAGGAGAAAAGCAGAGAAGTCAGAACTTCCTCGAGACATCAAAGCAATTTACAGACAAAGGAGCTCAGACCTCAGCCCACCGTAGAAAGGAGGCCGTCATCTCCCTCTTACGCATGGGGAAACTGAGGCAACGTAGCCAGTTAGGACTAGAACCCAGGACTCCCACCTCCACGACCCCACTCTCCACCCAGAATCGGGGGTAGTACCCAGGAGTCCTAGTGTCCAGGCCCTTCCTCGCCCTAGCCCACTGGACCCTGCTCTCCTGGGTTCTGCCCCAGCTCTGGGAGGTGTCCTGGCACCAAGCCCCCCACTCCCCCGCCCCTGCTTACAAGGAGGACAATTTGTTAATAGTTTTCATCATAACACTGTCCCTTTAAAAGAAGGGTCCCCTCCCTCCATGGCCCATCAGCACGAGCTGATGAGCTACCGCAGGACCTGTGCTGACCCTACTGTGTGCCGGCCCCAGGGCTCAGAGCGAGCCAGGTGGACCCACAACAGGGCGGGCCAGCCAGCCACAGCGTACGCAGGGAGCTGGTTCCACCGCTGGGCCCGGGATGACAGGACTTACCCGTGCAGACCCGCTGGCGTGGACCGAGTTGCCCCTGCTCCCCCTCAGAGGGACCCGCCGGGCCAGGCTGGGTTTCCTGGCCACACCCAGCGTGCTGTTTGCCAGCCCCACATTGGAGAGGATGCTGGCCAAAGCCGCCGGGTCAGCCACGAACTCCACTGGGCCAACTTCTGCAAGAGATACCACGGTGGTCAAGGGGCCGAAACGGAACCACTAAGCCACAGGTAGCTTGGCCCCCCACATCCTGTGATCTTAGCCCGTCTTTCATCCTGAAGGACCCCAAAATGCTTTACAAGATCACCTCGCTCTGAAATGCGGCCACCTCTGGGGCAGAGTGGTGCTGCCAGGTCACAGTGCAGAGCAACGCTGCAGGGCTAGACAGCAAAAAATCCCGGAGGCAGCTGACATTGCCAGGGCAATGAATGCACTTACCGGAGCTGGAGCTGGGCTAGGACACGTGGCCCAACGCCCAATGAAATGCCAGGGTTCTGGGCCTGGGCATTTGGGAAATGTGCCGTGGCACCTGGCAGAGGTAGCCAGTCCCTGGGCCTCACCACTCATCAGAAAGATGGTACTCCAACTGCACCGCGCCCCAGGGGACTGTGCTCAGCAGCCCCCTACCCTGTTCCTGCAGCCGAGCACCCCAGGCCCACACTGGGGGACCAGGCCCAGCACTGAGTCAGTGGGAAGAGCCCCCAAGTACAAGTTTCCAGGACAGTTTCCTGCAGCAACCAGTTGTCCCGCCAGGTCTCCCATCCACACGGTGTCCAGGCTCAGTCCTGCTTAGCTTGTGAGATGTGAGAGCATCACAGCAGGAGACAGACGTCAGGAAAGGAGCCTGGGGCCCCCTGCTGGCAGAGGCTGGGACTGCACCAGCACGGCTTCTCAGCACAAGAGCAGGTACCTTTGCCATTGGGGAGGCTGGTGCCTGACGGGGTCTTCTGGGCTGCTGCCCCCAGGTGTATCTCCTCCAGGGGGCCTCCGGGCTGGCTTCTGCTCAGCAGCTCCGGGGATCCCGCCGGCAGCTCCGCGGCTGCAGCCATATCAATATGGAACTTGTCCCCTTTGCAGGCCAGGTTAAAGGGACAGGTCTGCGGACAGGGCTTCTTACCGGCAGCCTTCCCCTGGCAGGGCAGAAAAGCAGTCACCTGGGAGATGAAGGCATGCAGAGTGCGAACGCTGCACGCCCCACGAGCACGGCAGCACAGACAGCGAGACCTAGCTGAGGCAAGTGCCATCCACACCTGAGCCCCCCGGGGACACCCCAACACGGCTTTGTGCACACAAGCAGCATCTCCCATGTCTACGCTGCTACCGAGTGTCGGACCCTGCTGACTCCCTGCTGCCAGAGCCTTTCCCCAAGGCCGGAGCTTTTCGCTGCCAGGCGTACCTACACCGCAGTGACAAGCATGGACGCGGCTTGGGGCACCCTGCATCGTGCCTGTCCTCTACCTACTGCCATAAGCGTAAGGAACAAGAGACGCATCCCCATTAGAGAGGGAAACTGAGGCACTAGGCGAGGAAGCATCTTGCCTGACATCACACATCAGTCACAGAGGTGGGAATGGAACCCAGGAGGCCTAACTCCCAGCCGATGTCCTAATCACTACACCACACTCCCTGTCCCAAAGACAGCTACGGAACCCAGGGGCTTGTCTCCCCTGCTCTTACCCACCACTTTCTCCACACACCCCTTTTCTCGTTTTAATAAAGATTTTGGTCCCATACTAGTGTCAAACCACGGGCACGCCCCCACAGCCTATGATCACCTTGTTGCTCCAGGGCTATAATCACCCGAAGCTGCAGCACAAGAAATGTGGGCTATTTTGTGCCTTGGAACACAGCATCCCAGTGGAAGGGGGGCTCAGAGCACCCTGCCAGCTGACCCCAGCTCTTCTTAGTGATGCTCCCAGTGGATCACAGCTGTGACCATATGACCCAGAGAGGGGGCACCAGCTAGAACATTGTACCAGCCAGGATCAGATGCACCAGAGTCAGATTATCTGCTAACAATGTGCTGGGCAGTTAAGGCACTTCACGCCGCGCTCCCGGGGGCTTGAGGCACCAGAGTTTGCCCTGCCCCTGTTAAAGGGGGCTGTGGATCAGCGGGAGCACATAGGCACCAGCACCCTGTTTCGGAAGCCAGCACATTCCGAGCAAGCCGAGCGTACCAGCTCCCACGCCCAAGAGGGGTAAATAGGGGTCTAGACTCCACAGTGGCACAGGCCCCTGCTGTGTGTCTCGGCCGTGCCCCAGCTCTCTCCTCCTCTTTCCATGCAGCTCTCTCCCAAGCACAGGGACCAGCCAACAAATGGTGCTTCGAGGCCGGCCCCTCACCCTCCATTCACCTTCTGGAACTGGCTCTCCCAGGCCTGGTGCAGCTGCTGGAAGTCCGGGGGCAGGCGGCTTTTGGACAGGACAGGGATCTTGCTGCGGCTCCGCGTGTCTGACCCGTCCCAGGCAGACGGCTCGTTCTCCTTTCCCAGCTGCGGTTCACTCCTGTCCAGGGAGCAGCTCCCTTTCCATTTGCCCTGAGGTGGGTGGGCAAAGGAAGCCCATTCCGGACTCTTCCCGACCTGGGCCATTTTTGACAGCTGCACCAAGCAAAGTCACCACAGCACCTTTCCTGGCATTTGCACCTGGAGGAAGAGAAAAAAAGAACAGGAGGACTTGTGGCACCTTAGAGACTAACAAATTTATTTGAGCATAAGCTTTCGTGAGCTACAGCTCACTTCATCAGAAGAGAAGCTCCCAAGAGCTGAAGAGAGTGTAACATGCAGAGCGCGTAACCACCTCCCCACCACGCCAGAGGAGACCTACTGCTGGGCTCCTCAAGTCCAGCCCCCTGGCTAGACCTGAGCTGGCAGCACTAGCCCATGGGGAATTCCCTCCCGAGCCGGCTGGGGACTGGCTACAGGCCCAGAGCAATGCCCCGTGTGGCTGGATCCTGGCCACTGCAGAGTCTGCCCCAGTTCACTCGCCTATTTCATGCTGCGGCGCACGGAGCCCATCACCTCTGGGCCAGCCAGGGAGCTGCACGGCTAGTGAAGGGTCAACACTAGCCACAGGCTCTCTGCCCTGTGCATAACGCCACCAGCCCCGGCCCCAGGGGAGGCTCACCCACACCCCAAGGGCCGAGGCCAACAAGTCCTGGCAGTTTGCACCCACTTGCAACCTCTGCCCGACCGTCTCCTCCGTGCGGCCCACCACGTTGTCCCCTGCCCCAGCTCTGCACAATCCACTACTGCCCCCCACCCATACCCCCCCTCTGCTGGTCCCCAGGGGGCCCCCTACTGGGCAACAGCCCAGAGACTCCCCCACCCCACTGCTCTCAGGGAACCCCACCTCCCCCCACAGGGAAACCCCTCCAGGGACCCATCCAACCACTACAGCCCCCAGAAACCCCTCTCCCAACTACCCTCCTAGGCCCCCACCTCAGGGATCCCCCACTGGATGCTCTCCACCCCAAAGCATTCCCCAAGTACACCCCATCCCCACACTCTCCCGGGGGGGGATCCCCCCTCTACTGCCCCCAACCTGGCAGCCTCCCTCATCCTCAGGCCAGGCCCCCCCCACTCCCCAAGCCTGACACCCCCAGAGACCCCCCACAACTGGGAACCCCACCCCGTGCCCACCTACTCCCCACCCCAGGGCCCCCCCATGGACACCTCATCCCCAAACACCCCCCATGCCAGGAACCCCCAGGGGGTCCCCCCTCTACTGCCCCCACCTCGGGAGTCTAAGGCCGGGGACCCCCCCAACCCAGGACCCCCCTCCGGGCTCCCCCGAGGCAGGGAGCCCCCCCCATAAGCCCAGGGCCCCGCCCCCCAGGACTCCCCCACCCCACCTGCTCCCGGTTGATTCGGTTGCGTCCGCCCCGCTCAGCCCAGCGGCTCGGGGCCAGGCTGCAGCTCCCCGCCGGTTTGTAAAATACCAAGGGCGCTGATTGGCCACCTGCCTCCGCCTGGGGGGCGGGGTCGATCGTAGAGCGAGCCAATCGGGAGCAAGGGAGGCGGGGCCAGGGCGACGCAAGGCGTAGGGCGGAGCTGCGGTGACTGATTGGTCGGCGCTGTCCGCCCCTCCCACCGGCCGCCTGCCGTTCCGGCCTATCAGGCGCGCGGGGGGCGGGACAAGGTCGCCCAGCGGAAGTCGACGATCTCGCGAGATCTGAACTGAAGGGAGCTGGGGCGTATAGACCATAGAGAAGGGCTAGACCATAGAGAAGGGCGTGGGTAGAGCGGCGGGCGGATGTGCCGGGTCGGGTGGGAGGAGCGCTGAGACCCCCCCCCATGTCTTGGGGCCCGGCTCCAGGTCACGCCAAGGGGCCACGGCCCCGGCTCCAGGTCACGCCAAGGGGCCACGGCCCCAGCTCAGGTCACGCCAAGGGGCCACGGCCCCAGCTCAGGTCACGCCAAGGGGTCACGGCCCCGGCTCCAGGTCACGCCAAGGGGCCACGGCCCCAGCTCAGGTCACGCCAAGGGGCCACGGCCCCAGCTCAGGTCACGCCAAGGGGTCACGGCCCCGGCTCCAGGTCACGCCAAGGGGCCACGGCCCCAGCTCAGGTCACGCCAAGGGGCCATGGCCCCGGCTCCAGGTCACACCAAGGGGTCACAGCCCCAGCTCAGGTCACGCCAAGGGGCCACAGCCCCGGCTCCAGGTCACGCCAAGGGCTACAGGGGTCAGGGCCCGGCTCCTGGTCACATTGCAGCATCATGCCAGTGGGCCAGGCCCTGGCACTGGGCAATGCCAGACACTCCCCATGGTTGTCAGTCACTGGCTGGTGCCCATCCTGCTGTGAGGTCGACCCTCAGCTAGCTCCACCAGGTCAGACGGCAGCCTCGTGCCATGGTGCCAGGTCATGCCATGGTGCGAGGTCTTGGCAACCAGGCACAGCTTGACACAGCCCCAAGGACAGCCCTGTGGCACTGCTGTGCCCACAGATCACCCCTGTGCGCCTGGATCTCACTGTGCAGCATGGTCACAGCTTACTCCGCGGTCCGCCTGGATTCCTACACGACATCCCCTCCCTGGAAGTGGGGAGCTGGCCAGGGCCGAGAGCTGCAGTGGAAGGGGTGAAGAGGCACTACTGCCTGTAGGGCCCTCCTCTGAATCTAGCCTCTCGCCACCCCCCCAGCAGACACAGCATAGGCGAGCTCCCTCTCACCCATCGCCACCACCACACCTCATGCTGCCCTAAAGGGACAGGCAGGGAGCTTGGCCCCCCACAGTGGCTGCCAACCCAGGAGGTCTGCTAGGTCCAAGTGGGGTGAGGTTATTTTGGGATGGCACCACTTGCCCACTAGGCCTAAGAGCTGACAACTCACCTCAGACAGGGGCCCTTTGGTGGGCACTGCCTGAAGGGGTCAAACCTGAGGCCTCTCCCCACTGCCCCTGGGTGGAGATACCAGACACTGGGACAAGGAGGCACAGACAAGAGGCAGACGCAGAGATTCCTTGTGATGATCTTTAGTGGCCAGTAAAGCAAGACAGGGCACGTTCAACACCAAGGCCGAGCGCTGGGCAACCCTCGTCGTCCAGGCAGATCAGGGAGCACCAAAGCAACTAGCCTGCACCTACTCAGAGTCTCCAGCGTGTCTCGTTCTGGCAGGGTGAGGGGTCCCTACCCCAGCCCCCTGGTTAAAGGTAGAGCTAGGGCAAGGGAGGTGGATCCGAGTCAGGCACGGCCTGTGCCCAGAGCACAGACATGTGGGGAGGGCTGTGGGGTAAAGCATTTTGGGACTGTATATTTAGCAGCAGTCAGGCTCAGGAAGGTGCTGTGGGACTCACTCGTGGGAGCAGAATGGGAAAAGCACAGCAGGGCTTGGTGGCAGCAGCAGGTATCAGGCTCAGGAATCGCTACTGAGATGGAAGAGCAGCACATTTCAGCAGCAGGAAACCTCGTTCCATGCATCTGTTCAAGTATTAGAGCCAGGGCCGAAAATCGGGAGAAGAAACTCTCTCATAGCAGGACCTGAGAACTAAGAGCGTGTCTGAAATCCCCGAGAGGCACGAGCGCTATCAGGCAGACAGGGATCCGTTCAAAAGGAGAACGGAGACTCAGTACCACAGCAGGGCTCCTTGGGGAAGGAATCACAATTGGGGACTGCACTGGACCTTCAGTAGTGCCGGTTGTGGCCCAGGATACTAAAGACACAAGGTGGATGAGCTAATCTGTTTTCTTGGACCAACTGCTGTTGTCTCTTTCACCCAGAGAAGCTGGTCCCGTAACGGGCATTAGCTCACCCACCTGGTCTCACTCGGCACGGTTGTGGAGCAGCGTGTGGCAGTTATCCCTTTCAGCGCTGGGATTTGGGGTCAAAGCAGAAATCAGAGCCAGGAGCCAGCAGCAGGCATCAATCAGTACTGGGTGGTGAACATGGCCTTAGCCCTGGGAAAGGGATCATGCCCAGCTGCTCCTCAGCAGCACAAAGGAGAGTCGACTCAGAGATTCAGCAGCAATGAGAAGAGTCAGTAGTGGGACGAGGAACTGCGTCAACATCAGCCATTTGTATTGGGACTTTACCTGGGGAGCAGGAGTCCAGGCTGAGCGCGCTGGGGCTAGAAATCCAGCCGTGGTGAGTAGTCCCTGCCATTGGTTTCTTCTGTCCTAAAACGCAGTTTCTGGACTGATCAGGGTCAGAATTTGGGGCCTGGCCGCACTCCGCCCTGGGAACGGGCACCGTGTCAGACAGCAGTAGCAGCCGTAAGAATCGCAATCAGACATTGGGATCACACTCGCAAACGGAGGCTCTGGTACAGCACTGACCCTAGTGCTCTGTTAGCAGGAACCCTGTCAGCACTGGGAAGAGCTGGCGGGAGGCACCACCCCTCCGCAGTCCAGGGTCGAGAGCGGAACCAGGACAACGCCTCTCTGGCATCAGCTTCAGCATCACGCCTCTTTGGTACCAAACTTGGTCAGGGCCTCTGCCTCGGGAGCGGGAATCGTGGTGGGATGGAGCAGCAGGCCCGGATCTGGGGACTGGTCTCAGCAGTCGCTCCAGGGACTGGGTAGTGGTCTCGAGGTTTGTATGGGCAGAGCCCAGGCAGTGGCCAGAGGGGGAGCCGGATCCTGCTGAGGGTGACCAGATGTCCCGATTTTATAGGGACAGTCCCAATTTGGGGGCTCTCTCTTATATAGGCTCCTATTACCCCCCACCCCCGTCCCGATTCTTTTACACTTGCTGTCAGGTCACCCTAATCCTGCTCTACCCCCTCAGAAGGGCTAGTCTGGGAAGGTCAGTTACCTCCCCAAAGCAGAGCTGGAGCAGAAAAGCAGCCAGGTCAGATCCAAGGGCCCAAGACAGGGGTGGGACAGAGGAAACAGCATGTGGTGCGAGGGGCAAAGGCGTGGGGGATCAGGAGGCAGGGCCCCCGGCTCCTTTCCCTGCAGGAGCCCCTGCCCCTGGGCTGTGAGGGGGTATTGCTGTGCTCACCCCTCTGGGTGCACTGTGGGGGCAGGCAGGCTGGGAGGATGGGGCAGTGTGGCAGGGCTGTCAGAGGTATCAGTAGTAATAAGGCCAGTGTGGCTGGGAGCAGGTGGGGGGCTGCAGCAGGGGTCTCGCAGTGGCTTCTGCATGTCAGTTTCACGCCATCGCCTCGGTCCAGGGCAGAGGCCTGGTGTCGGGATCACTTGTCCAGCTCGCTTCTCTGCTCCTTCCTCGACTCAGTCACCACCTGCCGTGTGCGGGCAGGGGCAGGATGGAACAGAGACCGCAGGATTAGACCCCACCCCGCCATCCCCTCAGCCCCAGCACCTGGCTACGTCCCCTGCCACCAAGGATCCTGGAGTCCTTCCGCCAGGCCCCGCCCCCAAAGCCCCCTGCCCCAGCACAGAGAGGGGGAATCAATTAGCCCAAGAGAGGCAGAGCTAGGAACAGAACCCAGGAGTCCTAGGGATCCCTGCTGTAGCCACTACACCATGCTCCCCAATAGCTTTGTACAGAACCCAGGAGTCCTGGGTCCCATCCCCTGCTCCAATCACTAGCTCACTCCACCCTCAGCTGGACATAGAACCTAGGAGTCCTGCCTCCCTGCTCTAACCACTAGACACTGCTACTTCTCCTTGCATGTGCTGGGATTTGAATGACAGCTGAACCCCCAGGGAACCTCTGCCCTGACCTCATCCCCCAACACCCCGATACCCTCGGCTTGGCACATTGCATCCTGACAGCTCCCCATCCTCCTCTCCTGACCGGGGCTTCCCCGCACTGAGGGGTGGAGACTCACCTCTCCATTCCGGGTCTCAATGGTTTTGATCAGAACCATTTTCCTGGTATGGCTCTCCATGGTCTGCTCCGGCTCGGGCACTGGGCAGGGGGGTGCAGGGCGGCCATGAGAGAGGAAGGGGCTGCAGCCACTGAACCCACTCCCCCAGAGTGCCCTGGGCTGGGTGTGCACCAGGACAGCAGACTCTGGCCACGACTGGGGAAGATCCCGCAACGGGCAGGTGCTGCCCCTAATGATACTGCTCAGCGACAGAGTTGTTTCCCAGGTTCCCCAGCGAGAGCAGCTGGATGCAGCTGACCCCACACAATTGGCAGAGGCCAGTGACACCCCAGACACCTGGGGAAGGATGCAGGGAGCCCCCAAAACACTGGCTGGGGAGGGGCAGAGATTCCTGGGGGAGGCAGGGACAGACACCCCCACGTGGCTGCTCACTTACCCGAAGTTTTCATGCTGAGGGAGGCCAGCGAGTGGATGGGGATCGTGATCCTGAGGGAGGGGGTCAAAGAGCGCAATGAGTGGCAGAAGGCCCCTGCTTATCCTTCACCCCACCCGGCCCCCTTGGAGACGAAGGGGAACAGGAGAGCTTGGACAGCAGCCCCCTCCCTTGCAATACCCCACCCCTTGCGACAGAGGCACCCTCCTGGCATCCGGAGAGCCGTGCCGCCCCCCTCTCCCCATGGCACTTGCCAGCCGGGCTATCCAGTGCCACGCCCACCTGTTCTCCT